TTGCAGACTTTTCTTCGTTTTGTGCCCAAGTTATCCCTGGCGCACAGGAGTAAGGGTCCACCTACTTGCGATGCCTCTCGACGGGTCCCCTCTACGTGTGCGTCTCGGCTTCTCTTTTCAACCGAATGTCATACCGCGAGGCCTGCTGCTACTGCTACTGCTGCTGCTTCTGCTGCTGGTGTGCTGCCGACGGTTGGATGTTTTTTCGGATTTTCTCCCGATGTCACATTTGTTCGTGCGTGGACATGTCTCGTCGCTCCCAACAAAGGAGCACTGAAAGTGGAACGTTAGGAGGTACCATGCCTCGCGGGCGGGGTGTGCTGCCTCGGCCGCGGGCGGACAGCAGTCATATTGCTAGAGCTATGCCATGTGGATACCCATGTTCAGTTCACAGCAGCAGGAGTGTGCGGGGTGAAGACAATGTGTCTGCCTCTCTCTCTCGATCGAACCCCCCAGTTCACGCCCAGCACGTACAGCAGTCACCGATGAGAGTCCTGAAGTGTGGTGGTCTGCTGTGATATACGAAAGGTTTGTGTGAGCAAGGGAGTGGCGTGTGGATGCGACCATGTGTACTCGAGTGCATGTGGGAGATACCAGGAGGTGGGTGTGTAGAAAACGGGAGACGGTGGTTGAAATATGTGTGTTCCACAGAAGCCTTGATGATGTCAGCGGTCTCTTCGCCCCGTTGAGAAAAAAAAAAACCTCGAAAGATCCAGGGAAACCCAGTCACATAAGGGTTAAGGTCGTTAATGCACCTTCCACGCCTGATCCTGCTGCCTCGCCGCGGCCGTGTCCTCCCCAACAGCCATGTCTACCCTCGAACCCGTAAGCTCAGCCGCGTGTACCCGGGCCTGGGCCCTTGCAGCTAGGGCATCGTTCCCCGCACCGGCCGCACCTTCCCTTGCAGCTGCTTTGTCTGCCCTCGAAGCCGTTAGTGCGTGTTCTATCGCCTGCGCCCGTTCCCTCGCAGCGGCTTCCTGTTCCTTGGCGGCTTTGCGAGACTGTCTCACCCCGGATTGACAATAGAAGGGCAGAGGGTGATATTCACAAAAGCGCATGCGGGCAAGTCAGTTTAGTCCTAGGTATAACAATCGGGAGCTGGTTGACGAGATATGGATAAATAGTCCGCTTGGAACGCTTCACACATTCACGTGTGGCGCCCAAACGAACGGTCTGACTTTCGGCGCCCTTCTTGCTTTAGAAGCCTCACCCTACTGTACTAGCGGCAACTTATCGCTTCGATTGGGCAGTCCATACACCCCTGCCTCGGTTGGTGTCCAGATAACAAACATCCCTTTCTCTGTGTATTCCCTCTTCGCCACTGCCTGGACGCGCAGTCTCACCCCCAAAACCGCACCTACTGTAATCTCCTTGCTTACAGTTAGCGGGCATGGGGGGACGCATAGCACTCTCCTTCACATTCTCCGGTTGGGCCGGGGCCGTCCACGAGGTGTTCGGGTAAGACGGGGAGGTCTTGTGTATGAGGTCTCTCTGCTTCAGCTTTCTTGCTACTGGATGTGTATGTGCATCTAGCTTACGGAGATCCCTCGGGGGGTTATGTGTATCCCAGTTTAGTTTGCGATCGACCAAGAGTCTACGCGAAAAAATATTCCGGACACATAGGCCACCCCGGAGGGAGGAGAAATTCGAAAAGTTACCATGAATCGTCGAAACGTTACCATGACGGACTATGGGGAATGACTATGTAATACATACATTCAGAAACACATAGCCATGAGGCTAGATGGATGGCAAAGATGCCACGCTCTCGTTACCCCTGCATTTGCTCGTCATTGATGCCGGCCCACGCTCACCCAGCCGTGCTAAAGGAACTCACGGAACACGCAGCCTAGCTTGCATGTAGCGCCTCATCTCTACGAAAGCAGGTATAGACCAAAGCTCCAAATGAGCGAAACAACTCAGGTAACAACCCAGTTCTTGTGGAACTGGTAACTGTTTCATAATACAAGTGTGGCAACCATCCATTGAACCAACCACTTGCCTTGCAAACTTGCCCTTGCCGCTTGTACCACTGCACAACAGGGAACATAGTCTCGCAAATCTACTCGCCTTGGTCTTGTAGCGGTAAGTTTGACTTGATCAATCTACCGCGCTTTATCATGCGGACCCCTACTTCCGAGGTATCGTGCGGTGTCTGGCTACGTTTTCTGCGAGCCAGTCGCCACTTGCGTTTGCCTTCCACCTCCTCTGCCCGTCCTTCTTCCTTTGTTCTTCTTCTTCGTCGCCGTCGTCGTCGTTACCATCGTTCATGTTGTCGTCGTCGTCGTCGTCGTCGTCGTCCTCGCCGTATTTTCCCTCGTCCTCGCCGTATTTTCCCTCGTCCTCGCCGTCTGCTTCCTCATCCTCGTCCTCCTCTTTCTCCTCGTCCTCGTCCTTCTCCTCCTCCTCTTCCTGCTCCTCCTGCTCCTCCTCCTCCTCCTCCTCCTCCTCCTCCTCCTCCTCGCCCATGTCCTCCAAGGACCGGGTGCCGACCATCTTACGGCCAGACGCGCCGCCGTTCCTTTCCGCGCTCCCAAGTGTGCCCGGGGGGACGACTTCGTTTCCCTGGCCACGTCGGAGAGGCTTCCCGGCGAGTACCTCTGGCTTCCCGTTATTCATTTTGCTCTGACCAATCGGCCACACGGGCGACTGGCCGGCTAGCGACTGCTCCTACATGCTCATGGGGGTAGAATGCATTATGTATGAGAAGATGGCGAAGACGTCCCTGTGGTGTACGGGGTGCATGCCATCTCTCGGCAGTCTCCACTGCTCCACAGCTCCAGCAGCGTCAGCGGTGATGCACACAGCGAGAGCCGGACGACAAGCGCCCACGCCTCGGCGTAAAACCCGGGGACACATGGGTATATATCCCCCCCCCCGCCAAATGAGGATTGTATGGGAGGCGAAGTGGGCAAACAATAAGAGGGGTAGACTGGAAGTGAAAGCACCAGAAAATATATTAATTCATACGCAGCTGTCATCCGTACACAAGGAAGTAAGCACAAGATGCCGAACACCCTTAGCAGGATGCAGCGCACCCTTCATGCGATTCGCCGAATATCTCACGGCGCTTCGCGCTTGGTGATGCGAGAGCCTGGTCCGGTGAGAACCCGGCGTGCTCCATCCCGGCTTTGTAGGGATGCGAGGTCAATGGTCTAACGCCTACGGCATGCACGACTATGAGTATGAGTACACCCCCCCCCACACGGACCGTCTCCCCCGGTGTTTGCCACCGGGGTTAGGTTTTCGTCGCTTGGCAGCGATGTTGTAAAACAAGCCGATCACTTCGTGAGCTCAGCAACCAGGTCACCGCTTGTTTTTTCCCTGTGATCTTTCTTTCGCGGTAACCATAAATGGTGGTCGAGAAGATTTTGTTGTGCGGAGTTGAGAACCCTCACTCCGCGCGAAGGGAATGATCGCACGTTGTGGTAAATTGGTCAAGCATCCTCGAGGCCGTTACACAGCGCTCACATGTCTCTGGAAGTGAAAGCACCAGAAAATATATTTAGTCATACGCAGCTGTCATCCGTATTCAAGGAAGTGAGCACAAGATGCCGAACACCCTTAGCAGGATGCAGCGCACCCTTCATGCGACTCGCCGAATACCTCACGGCCCCTTCGCGCTTGGTGATGTGAGAGCCTGGTCCGGTGAGAACCCGGCGTGCTCCATCCCGGCTTTGTAGGGATGCGAGGTCAATGGTCTAACGACTACGGCAAGCACGACTATGAGCACACACACACACCGTCTTAGATCTACCCTCCTTACTGCTGCTTTTTCAACGAATGGTGGACTTGGCAAAGCCGCCAATCGACCCGTCGTTGCTATCGCCAACCACTTGGCGCGCGAAGCTTTCTGCCGGGGGAATTTTGACGACGAAAGAGCCTTAGTTCGCCTAAAAGCCTTTCATATTAACAGGATTCGGAGACGGTTTAATTTCGAGCTAGCTCGTTTTCTGTCGATGCGTACTCGCGATGTGTTCAAACGTCATGGGCTACTGATCGACCAACTTCCACCAGGGTCAATCGGCTGGGATCTCTGCGACAACGACAGTAATGTGGGTAATTCTTTTGGGAGTGACGGAGACGAAGGAAAGGGAACGGGAAGAAAGGAGGACGAAGACGACGATGGAGGAGGAAAACATGAAGGAGTGGAAGAGAGCAAAGGGTTTGAGCCAGAAGACCTTCCCCAAAACAAAAAACGTAGGGCTAGGGAAGAACTGCCCAGAGATTCTTGTCAAAATGAGGATCAGAATGATTGTAGCGAAAACAACAAGGAGGATAATGGTGGAAGTACTCCTAAACGAACTCGAGTACAAGGTACTAGCCTTGGTAGACGCGTGCAGTTTTCTTCTGTTGCTGCTGTTTCTGTCTTTGATCCGAAGGAAATTTTAGCCTCCCCCATACTGCCTCCTCACGGGGTCCCAGTTCATGGCAGATAGAAGTGTTTCGTGTTTTCAACCGCACTACTGTAAGACTGACGTCTTTTCATTGGTCAGCCGGTAGGCGCGGTCGATGCAAATGATAAAAACACGCACATTTTTTGCTGTCCTCCGCTCTTTGCATCAGTGGCTTCCTAGGTTCGGACGAGGGCATGTGTGGAGCTATGGCCGTGTATGNGGGAGTGTACGATTATCAAATTGGGAGATGCAGCATACCACGATATATATATCCTGGCTTCGGCTGGGTTGCATCAACCCTTTTGCTGTCCTCCGCCCTTGCATCAGTGCCTTCCTAGATTCGAGCGAGGGCATTTTTGTAGCTGAGATGTGTGTCTACGTGAAAGTATTTGTAGAGAAAGTCGTATTGGCATTCGCATTTAGGGCATTGCGCATTTTTCGAATTTCGGCCCCCTTCCAGGGACCTTGATTTATACCAGCTGGCACTGACGTCTTTTCATTGGTCAGCCGGTGAGCGCGGTAAACAACTTCCATGGAAGTTGATCATCTTCCTTCCATGGAAACAGGCACCCGATATCAACCACTCGTTGCTTCCACGGAAGCGGTATTTCGGACTTCCACGGAAGTGCGATGACCTGCCACGGAAGCTCGTCGCTCGACCGAGTCTCTAGTACTTCCTTCCATGAAATACGAAAACTTCCATGAAAGCAATTTCCACGGGGGCGTCTGGACATGTGGTCATTCCAGCTTCTTAATCCCAACTCTAACCCAATCCTAATCCTATTCCTAACACCAACCCATAGCAACTTCCACGGAAGCGTCTGGACTAATGTGGTCATTCCAGCTTCCCTACCCTAACCCGAACCCAAACCCTAATCCTAAACCCCGAAAAGACCATGGAAGTTAACCCGAGGCTGAATACATCCAAGGAAACTTCCATTACTACACCTGTTTTGAATAGGTTCCACGAAAGCCCACGCCTTAGGCTTCCATGGAAGGAAGCCATTCCACTTCCTCCGTGGTATTTCCATGCGAATTCCGTGGAGTTCAACTTCCATGGAGGAAGTGACACATCCACATTTCATGTCTTCAGTTCCATGGAGGAAGTGAATATCGCCATGAAAGTGTCGTTCGGCGCTTCCATGGAAGTATGAAAGGTGTGGCTTCCATGGAATGGTATCAGCTGTTGATTGGCCCCACGCCGAGTGCTGCTGGATAACCACGGCTGTCCCGGTTGACAATGTGAAGTGATGGTAAAGTTGTTTTATTGGTCGCCCTCGTAGACACAAGCAACGGAAGAGAGTGGGCACCAGGGTGCATCACAAACACCGAGGCACGCGAGCAACGACAGCAGTCGCAAGACACATTCGGAACTCGGAACACATGACAGCACGGAACGCGTGACAACTTGCCCAAGATAACACTACCGGAGATACCCCGAAGATCCAAATGGCGCCTTCCGGTAAATGCCGGAGAATGGCGTCCTAGAACGAGTGTTCGTCGGTACGAAAAACAGAGACCAGTTCTAGAAACGTTTCGGCGAGACCAACCGAACGAAAAACAAAACGAAAAAACAAAACAAAAATCTCCTCATATTTTTCAAGATAAACGATGCGGCGCATCCTGTTTCACCCCAAGCATCGCCGACTCAAGCCTCGTTCTCCACGGCAATCGACTCCGCTTGGTCGAATTACATACAGAGGACACCACTTTCGAGGTCATCAGACCTAATCTCGTTCTAGGACGGCCGTCCCGACTTGGGCCTGGCCGTGGCTCGTGGCAGCCTCATGCAGGTAGACCGCACAATCGAAATCCGAGGGGACGAGAGGGTAGTGAGACAGCAGCGGAAGCACAGCCGCGGGATACTGCTAATCAGCCAGCTGTTGAGAAAGGGTACCACCGAGGCAGCTGGAAAACCCGTGCAATCTGTGGTTGCTGATGAAGTTGAGCTCCTCGAAAAGGGTAGAGAGCATGTTGAAGGCATCCGAGAGAGAGCATCGAAACGCGGGAAACGACAGCCTGCTGCTGCTGCTGCTGCTTCATCTGCTGCGGCGAAGAAGGCGAAGCGCGAGGGGGCGGACGCAGCTCTCTCCGACCCTCTAGCATTGGCTCATGATGGCGGGACTAGAAGCGGTGCTACCCCAGAGACTTCGCGGGAGGAAGCGGTGAGTTTTGAGTCGCTTCTGAGGTGCTGCTGAAAGGTGATAAACTGCTTGATTGACTGCTTTACTTTGCGCGCCGCTCTTTTTTTGAAGTTGAAAACATGTATCGTACACGCGCTGCCCGTCCTCTTTGCCCCCAGGAATTGAGGTCCATTCCACCACGTCGATCTTAAGCACAGAGAGCGCATTACGAATTGCGCGGGTTTGCTGACTGCTGTAACTGCTGCAATGACGCTGCTACCGTGGTGTTAATATGTCACCCACTCATACGTTCCCCCGACTCCTCCAATAACTACTGATACGTTGTACGCAGGTTGCGGAGGAGCGTCGCTCTAGCGCGATGGATTTGATGCAGAACGACCCCGTGTTGATGGAGCGAGTACGGGCCATGCTGGATGCTGGCGCGGCAGAGCAGGCAGCAGCTAACGTGGCTGCGATCGACGCGGCCAACACTCGTGCACTCCGCGCGTCGTTGCAAGCGCTGAAGCAGCACTGCAACAGCTCGATGGGGTGGACCACTTACCAGACAGCGCTCGCTGTAGCAGCCGGAGCGGGAGAGCACACGTGTACTGACACGAACGTGTGCCACCCCGGCCAGCGGTGCAAGCCCGTTGAGTCTGGCGGAGTGAGCCTTGCCGAGCGAGCCAACAGTCTCGGCATTCGGCACGAGACTTTCAGCGACGCACGGCGGCGGATGCACAACACGAACCACGACATCGCCCCCAAGATCGCTGCGAGTGAGGGATGCTACGTGTACAACGAGCGCAAGACACGGAGTGACGTGACGAATCCCGAGAACAGAGGAGGAGCAGGGGGAGGTGCAGGATACCTGTAGTCTTGTGTGGGCTACTAGTGTGGGGGTGCAGACAGACGATTTTGTGGTGGGAGCGGCCGGAGACAAGTTGTTGACGACTAGGAAGTGGGCGGTAGACGAGTTCAGGGCGAGGAAATGGGCTGCCCCCAAGAAGTTCACCAGATCTTGGAAGTTGCGGGTTCGGGGCGCATCGTGCTACTGCTCGACTTGCCGAATAGGCTGCTAGGATTACTGCATGGTAGCGAAGATGTACCCCGACTTGGTTGGCGAGGTGATGGAGAAGTCGGGAAAAGAGATGGTTGGGAGACGCACGCTTGGGACTCAATTGACCGGCGTTATTCTTCCGGTCATATCTTCGGACGAGTCCCCAGTGGCGCCTACGCTTGACCAGAGCATGGGGGAGGTGGGGTGGGGTGGGGAGAAGGGAGATGAGGGAGAGGAGGAGGACGAGGAGGGGGGGGGAGGAGGGGGAGCGGGAGGAAGCGCAATACGTACGCTCAAGAGGTCGCGTACGTATCGCGAAGAAGAGGTTCCCGGAGGTGGGCCAGGGATGGATGGATGTGTTGGCTGCCAACCACAAGAATGGAACTCGTCGACGTTGTTGTTCTTCTTGCTTTTTTTGGTATGGTGTCGAACGCAACGTTTGCAAGTATTATGCGCTACCCTTTACTCTTGGTACCCCGTTTTGTCCCCGGGGGGGACAAAAATTTCGTGTCCCCTGGTGGGAAGTCGCCAGTTAAGTGCGCAAAAACTGTAGGGTTTGTTCTACCGGAACAGTGGTCTTGACAAGCGCAAAAAATGGGCAAGATAAGGGGAAATCCCCGTTTTGTCCCCGGGGGGGGACATAAAGTTCGTGTCCCCTGGTCGAAAGTGGCCAGTTAAGTTTGCAAAAATTGTAGGGTTTGTTCTACCGGAACAGCGGTCAAAAAAGCGCTTAAAATGGGCAGGATATGGGCTAATCCCCGTTTTGTCCCCGGGGGGGACAGAAAGTTCGTTTCCCCTGATTTGCGTTTCCCTGTACATTGAGTAAGACAAATCACCAAGTTTCGCTGAAAACCCACCTTCCCGACCGCGGATTAAAAATCTGAGACCGAATATCACATGTACACACCGACAGCAACCCACAACATTATTTTCAGAGCTTAGGCGGTTTGGCAACATTATCAATCTCAACCCCTCCCCGGCATATACCGGAAGGCGCCAAATGACCGATGGACGGCCACGTACATGCGCACTGACATGGCTCAAAACCACACATGAGTACTACCACCGCAGTAGCCTTCGTAAGGATGGCATAATCCACCTCACGAACATCAGCTTCCATGGAAGTAGGTCCAACTTGCATGGAGCTGATTTATTCTTCCATGGAAGGAAGCGGTACACGTTTATCAAATAGTGTGGGAGATCGCGGATCCTGGCGCCTTTTGCCGGGACTGTCAACGTCGTTCTATCGGTGGCGAACGCGATCAGCGACCGCGCTTGCAACGTCATGCGGAGAGAGAGATACAGCGTGAGCTGGTGTGCTGTTATTATTGGCATCGACCGCGCTTTATCCGGCTGACCAATGAATAGACGTCAGTCTCAGTGCGGTTGAAAAACACAAAATACACACACACCGAGACGCGCTTGCTCCGCAAGCACATTGTCTACGGGTGCCACAATAGAACACCCGACAAACCGAGTTCCCCTAAATCTTCGGTCTACAACTTCCCAACATAACATACAGATAGATACACAAGATGACATACAGGTAGCCTTTCGCTCACGCTATGGATTCATTGCCAATCTATCTTATATGGATGCCCTCTACTCTGTCTGGGTGAGCGGAGAGCCCGGGGTTGTGGTGGCTATGTCCTGCCACTGGAGATTGGCTATTTCCTTTGATGCAATGTGGCGAGGAATGCCAAGCGTGACCGAGCGAACTCAGTCAAGCTAGGGTGGTGCGGAGAGTGGGCGAGCCTTCGTGGACTTCTTTTCCCATTCTCCTAAGAGATCCATCAACTCTTCGCAGCCGTTGGGGGTTATAAGAGTTGGGGACCCTCGGAGAACAGTAATAATCTAGTCACATATTCCCTCAGATCCTACCCTTCATGTGTATGTATCTGTGCTCCCTGAATCTCCTTATCCTGACCTCCACATAGCCCCCCTTTTTCTTCGCCGAAAGATCAGCTTGTCGAAGTTGGGTTTTGGCGCACATGCATTTTTGTATGTTTCTTGTAGTGGAGCAGGTATGGATGTATCATTGGATCCAGATACAGCTTTTCGAAAATTAAATCTCTCCCTCACTATCCGAAGACAGCTGACAGTGCCGTGTGGAATACACACGTGTTGAAAACAACACCGTACGGATTTAATCTCTCCAAGACTCGTACAAGCTACCATGTATTGATGTCAATCAATGATGTGTCAAAGTTTATTATTGTCAAGTATCAAGAATTTGTACTTTGTGCGGGTTCTGGTTCGCGTAACCATACCGCTGGGTGTAAGCAATGGTGTTGCTTATTGAGTACGATAGGCATACGGTGTTCGACAGTCCTAAGACTGTTTCCGTGACTCACGATTGGTGTCATCGAGTTGCGACCCTCAATTCCACTTGAGACCGGTTAACTTGACNTGTCAAAGTTTATTATTGTCAAGTATCAAGAATTTGTACTTTGTGCGGGTTCTGGTTCGCGTAACCATACCGCTGGGTGTAAGCAATGGTGTTGCTTATTGAGTACGATAGGCATACGGTGTTCGACAGTCCTAAGACTGTTTCCGTGACTCACGATTGGTGTCATCGAGTTGCGACCCTCAATTCCACTTGAGACCGGTTAACTTGACATTTCCTCGCCAGCATTTGACCCAACCAAACGCTGGATAGCAACCTTACTTTTTGTTTGGATGCTATTCCTTTCACCGTTTAGATACTTTGGAAATATATCTTTTCTTTGCCTTCGGACTTAGTTTACTTTTCCGCTGAGTACTTTCCTTGTTCACGCATTTTGCTGGCTTGGTACACAACGTGTTTGGCCTTGCTTTGTGCATTGCGCGTTTGTTTGTACTCGGATCCCTACCTTCGTCTCGTTTTCGTTTCGCTTTTTTCTGCGGTACTTCGCACGATTTCTTGGCGGGCGCAATGTATGTCCAGATCATGTTTTGATCGGTATGTATGCGGAAATCATTTCGTCGTGGCATTGCGGCACTTCGTCGGCACGACACATCAGATGTGATTCAGGACCGTTTCCTTTCAGTCTTTAACGATATCAATTGTCGTGCGGACCTTTTCGGCCGTGACCGCTTCGATGCCCTTCCACTTTCAATACGACAATATCTTTCGATTTTCGGTTGATTTTCGTCGTTTGCTGTCAGGGCAGGCAAGGGAATTTGTTTCCCAAGGAAATATCCCGCCAGTTTTCCAAACTGTGGTGCTGGTGGTTTTTCCCTTTCATGGTACTGTTTTAGATGGGCAAGATGCACGGATATTTCTCGTGTTTCATCGACTCGCTTCACTCTACACACAACTGGTGACAGTTGTGAGCAGATGGTATATGGTCCTCGCCACGGTAAGAACAGCTTCGGATTTAGTCCATCTATCTATCTGGTGTGGTCGGTATACGAGTACTTGTTGACCAGGTTCAAAGACGGGGTACTGCGGTAACTTTTCGTTTTTCGCAGCTTGCTTCTCTGCGCGTTCCGTGAGGTTTCTCCGCGCTAGTTCGAAAGCAATTTGTAGATTATCTCATGTTTTTTTAGCAAAACTCTCGGTATNTCTACACACAACTGGTGACAGTTGTGAGCAGATGGTATATGGTCCTCGCCACGGTAAGAACAGCTTCGGATTTAGTCCATCTATCTATCTGGTGTGGTCGGTATACGAGTACTTGTTGACCAGGTTCAAAGACGGGGTACTGCGGTAACTTTTCGTTTTTCGCAGCTTGCTTCTCTGCGCGTTCCGTGAGGTTTCTCCGCGCTAGTTCGAAAGCAATTTGTAGATTATCTCATGTTTTTTTAGCAAAACTCTCGGTATCTGCAGTTGATCCTACATGTGGGTTTCTGAGAATTGCATCCACCGGTCACCGTGCTTGGCGACCAAACATCAAGAAGTACGATGTCTCATGCATGCTTTCATGAAACGACGCATTATACGCTAGTTGAACCATTGACAGGATATCCGCCCAGTTGTCACGATTCATGGAGCTATGAATTGCGAGCATGGAATGCATCATCGTTGAATGCACACGCTCAGAGACCGAATTACCTTGCGGACGATACGGTGTTTTCTTGTAGCCCAAAATTGTTTGCAACTGATAGATTATCTTGTTTTCGAATTCAGTGCCTTAATCAGAGTGCTGCATTTCAGGCGGGCCAAAGATACTGATAATCCGATCAATGATTACACGTGCTACCGTTTCAGCAGTTTTGTTTGGAACTCGTGTGAGTGCATAACGCTTCAGGTGGTCCATCATCATCGACGCCGGTATGGTTCGAATACACGCCTGTGACCTCAACCTGCAGCTAAGCGAGGACACAGTTGAGTTGTTGGGTACCGGGCAAAGGCCAACGGCGACCTACAGAGTCCCACAAGCGCGTCAAGCGACGTGAACAGGCCAAATGAGTCCTACGGATAACCGCGATACCACGGCATCCGCCGCACCGCACTGTTGGTGCCAGTATTGCTTCGGAAAACCGGTTTTTTGGCCCACCGCCGTGCATTTTACAAGCCAAGGCCCAACAGCAAAAAATGAATATTTCCTCGCCTGGAACTGCAGCGCGTCCTGGACAAAAAATGCGTTCTGCCTTGCAACCAGCAACGATACAACAATATAGCGCGGTATCGCCGGTGATGCAACAATCAAACCGAACGCGCAAGAGAGGAAGAGAGGCCGAAAGAAAGCCTTCTAATAACGGCTAAAGCACAGTTGTTGGCTTCCCTTTACGACTTAAACCCTGGACAGAACGAGCGCCATCATTCACAGAATCTTAGACCCCTACCTACAAATCAATTCCTGGCTGCCCTACCCTCAGCGCGAACGGCGCGGAGGTAACGCGTGTTTTCTTACCCCATCATGTTCACCCTCAACAAGACACGCGTACGCAAGTGCCCGACTTCTTTTCACAGAAAATAAAGCCCAAGAGGTGTCCATAGATCGAGTCGGAATTGGGAAAAAAAACGTCAACGCGGCGCCCAGGATAAATATCAATGCGCTGACTGCCCCCCACCGCCCCAACGCCTACCCCCGCGGCCCCACTCTCGTTGCTTTGCTGCTGCTGCTGACGACGGCGGCGGCGGCGGCGGCGGCGGCGGCCGATACCTTCCCGCGCATGACACCCAACCAGCTACACCCAACCTCGTGCCAACTCCGAAGCTTGTTCTGATTATTCTCCTTTCTCACGCTCAAAATAATCAAATATGCCCCCAACGATACGAACCAGAGTCGAGAGAACTCGACCACCGCACGCGAAACTTGTACCCGTACGTATGCGCGGCAAAAAGGGGGACGGGGGGCAGCCAAAGGGACGCAGGAGCACGCGTTTTTACCGCATATACAAGACCGACAAAACTAAAAACAACTTTGAAGCTCGAAGCGGGGATCCAACAAGAGCCGTTCGAATCTTGCGTCCCCCCCGCCAGGAGATGCGAAAATTTACATTCAGCACCGTCCGTGTGGTTGCTCCCCTCGTCCCCTTGCCCCCCCCTCCCCCCCCCGCCCTTTTGTGTGTGTGTTTTTCCACACGTACTATCCTAAATGTTATTTACTTGGTTTAGGCGGACATCGCCGCCGCCGCGTCATCGTCGTGCTGCTTCTCGGCCGCCACCCGCTCGCTGCGGAAGCGCTCCACCTGCCCCGTGGCGATCATGCCGCCCAGCAAAAAGCAGCCGAGGATGAACAGCCAGAAGTACACCCAGAGTGCGGTGTGGTGCCTGTTTTTTTCCACGCGTTTCGCGGGGTGTGGTAGAGGAAAGATGCGCATGGCAGGTGCCGACGGGTGGAGGGGGGGGTGAGTTTGTGTTGGGTGGTGTGGGAAGGATGAGGGCATGACAGGAGGGGAAAGAACCACGAAAAAGAGCGACGTAACACGTCATGGAAAACATGCACTCTGAAACAAAGGTAAATCCGTCCAGCCAAGACACCGGTAAAGGGGAGAAGAGAAAGGGGAGTGGAGAAAGAGAGGACAACCAAATTCGCGGAGCAAAGGGAAAACGCTAGGATTTGGTTTGAGAGCAGCTCCTCTTGTCCAATGATGCGACACAAATATCTGCTGTATATGTGACCTCGCAATCGTACGGTACGTTAGACACTACGGGGTGTGGAAGATGGTTCTAAAAGTAGACCAGACACTTGTGCCGCTCTCAGAGGCCAAAAAAACGGATGATACCATATAAAGGGTACAGATAGCGCCCGCACTTAAGAACTTAGCCGTTAAGAAATTGAGACTCGCAAAAAATCAGAAGATAAGAACTTGAGCACCATTTGTGAGCTCGGTTAAGAACCCCACACTGAAACCTATATAGCGGCCATTTGTAGCCCACAGGATGATGAGCAAAATAAGAACCCCACCCTCGGCCGAACTTAAAGGTTCTTAAGTGCGGGCGCCATCTGTATGGCAGCTGGCGAAGCTCCATCGACTTGTACCGTGGGTGCAAAGCTCTGCTGCTGAGTCTCTGAATGTAGATGCTGACGGAAGTAGTCGGCACCGGACGTCAGACAAGAGGCGATTCTTTGACGTACAAGTTTTGGACACGTGTGCGTTGGTGTGGTTTGCCAACCGGGCGATGCCCAGAGGTTAAGTAGTGCTGGTTTCTGCTGTTGTTGCGGATGAGGAGGCCGCAGAGTCCTACAGCAGCGGTCCATCCCCAAACCGCGCAAAGCACGTTCTCAAAAGCACACATCGCACAATGACTACAATAACCGGAGTTGAGTATTCGATGCATCGAACGACCACAACAGGCTAATGTACGTGTCGTAGGTGCAGCATGCTCGAGAATTTCCTGCTTTACCTCCCCATGCAGACAACTACACATTTGCACAAACACCTTCTCGAAAAAAGTGAAATGCTCCTCATTACCAGCGAGCGGCAAAGAGTCTATAAATAACATGCATTCCGCCGTTCCGCCTTTCCGCCGTCCTACTGCAAATACGAGTTGCAAGCATGAGCTGCAAGTTGAGGCAACGCCAACAACGCGGCCGCAGCCAAGTTACGGTCGCAGCAGCTGCTTGTGTTTAGGAGTGCGCTACGATTGCGATCAAGAGGCAACACCCCCAGCGCGCTCTCCGTCGCTTGGTCCAAAAGTGTGCAAAAACAAATCTGGCCAAAGGTGCACGACCGCTGAAGGTACGGCAGCAGCGTTAACCTCCACACTAATAGCTTGTGGCGCTATCTCCATGGCATGCAGTATAAAAAACTGCCACGGCGGCATCTACGTGGCTTCCCTACCCGAGCACCACAAAACAGGCAACTCAAACGAAGGGGTTGCCAACAAACTCATTGACGTGCTCGCGACAAGGAATGCCGAGGCCAGAACATGACACCAGACAGCAGCAGTGTTGGTTGTTTAAGGGTCTGAAAAGTAATAGTCAGAGAAGGGAAAACTGCAATCTACCAAAAATCAGGGATACGTACAGGTCTGTGTCGATCGCCGACTTGAGCAGCAGCCCGGACACTCCGAGCACGAACGACCAGAGCGCGAGGATGCACCCCATGATGAGCAGCACATCCTCCAGCGAGTTCCCGCAGCCGATGCCGAACGTCTTGCCGCCGCACTTGAGCTCCAGCGGCTCGTAGCGGTTCATCATGTTGATCTCCGCCAGGGTAGACGGCCGGAACGAGCGAGCATCCTTGGACCCACGGGGAGGGACAACCTTCGGGATGGGGTTCTTGCTCTGGTCGAACTTCGACACCTCCTGCTGTGTGTCGACGTGGATTTCTGACTTAAGCATGGATACGGCGACCTCGTTCGTCTTGGCTTCCTCGGACATGGCGCTGGGTGTCTTGGTGGTGTGGTTGCTCCTGAAGACGTGTGTGTGGGGGACGGAGGGTGGGATGCGTGCACGTGCGCTGCTCGGAAGAGTAGTTACGGTTCCTTTCAAGGGGTCCGCGCACCAAAAGGAGCAGTGTGACGGAACGATGTATTGACGTTGCGATCAAGCTTACCTGCTTGCTCGCTCTCGCGCTTTCTGTCTCTCGTACAATGCTGCTTCCGGAACGGGGGCTATGGATTAACGGCAGGTCGCTATGGATTGACGGCAGGTGTTGTACAGCTGGCGTTGCAAAACGCCGTCTTCTGCGAGCATTTTTGCCTTTTTTTTTTTGTGAAACACGTGTATCATAGTCTCCTCCGCGGACCCCCAGAGCGGTAACCGTCCCGTCCAAAAACAATTTGGTTCCCTATCCAGGTCCAGCCGAGATTTCGATCTCCGGGCGACAGCAGTAGTCGGGGGGGTCGAGGTTGTGAACGTTCCTATTTGTCTCCATCAGTAGACAAGGTTCTGTCCGCTCCTCGCAACACCCTAGGTCTTGTATGTAGTCATTGTTGGGTTGGGAACCGTCAAGCTTCACTCACCAGCGTCGAGGGGTACACCAGCGCCCCGGTGGTCTATATTCTATAATAGTGGGTAGCCTTGCAGCCTGTGAGGCGCCAGGTCATGGGTTCGAGTCCCGTCAGAGAGAGTTTTTTTCTCACTAAATAAATCCTGGTCTAGGATGAAAGCGACGCGCTGCAAAGAAAGCTCGTTTGATAGTAAACCATAATCGACTTCATAAGTCGCGAGGGAAGGGATTTGCTGTACCCTTCTCGCGATAAAAATACCTCAGGCATCAACCGCAGGAGGGGGTCCAACCCCCCCTCCTATGTGACCCCGGTTGGGCCGTCTAGCTAAATAGTAGAAGTGGAGGATAGGGGCCAGAGGGGCAGACCACAGAGTCCAATGATGGGAGAAAAACAAACATACAAAAAACTCACCCTTCCTATTATCCGCACACGGGGAGCCTCGGTGCTTGCGAGACATGTCCGTTCAGACCTGCAGATGTTGGTTGATTTCTTCTGTAAGTGGAGCTTCGAGCATGGACTAGGTTCCCGCACTTGATTTAATCAACCCAACCTTGTGATCGAATATGCATGGGCGGAGGGATCATCACCAGCGATCTCGTCGACCTCTCTCTGTGGACTACGTGTAGACTATTTGTTGGGTGTCGTCGGCGTCAGACTGTACTTACGAAGGGTTGGGTGCCCTCCGCGCTTTCAAACGATAGTCTTCCTCGCCTTGTGGAAGGAAACTTTGAGTTCGTTCATGATTCGCCACTTGCGCTTGATCAAAATTGTCAAATCGGTGCCACCCCAATCGATCTCAGCGCTTGCCGATAAATAAAACTTCGGATAAGACTCTTCTGGTACATGCCGTAAGTGAACTACACTTCATACTTCACATCACCTTGCACCTACATAAAACAGAGAAGAATTTACTCTCCTGAGTACTTCTGCGCACAGACAGAAGAGACGAACGTGCGTAGGAAGCATTTACATTTTATTGTACATTGTAGGGCTCGAAAATGACCCACGAAAATTGGCTGAGGGGCAGTCGATACCCGCCCCTCGACCTCGAACAGGGCATTTCAATGTTTTTGGACACCCCGCATCCACAAACGAACGCTTGCTGTTTGTTACGAGCTTGGGGTGTTCCTGGCTGTGCTTCCACCCTCCGCAGCCTTGCTCGTCAAGGTATCTACGCCTTTCCAACCTTGGATGTCCCTGATTCCAGGTTGATGTTGTCGCAGGAAACGCAACACGACAGAACGGCATCTAGCTTCGCTCCGAGTCGGAGTACGGCGTCATTCTCCGGTTTCTAAACATCGGCTCTCTTGTGACGCACAGGGGCCGCGCGGCCGAACGGCCACTACTTGGAGAGGATGCAGACGACACATTTTCAAAGACGGAGTACGGAAAACCCGGAAATATCCAAGACTTGGCCAAATGTTCGCGCGGAATGAAGACTCCGCCGGCCATCCCCTCTTCTTGCGAAACGTGAGCAACAGGGAAACCCCGGCCAGGGCCAACGACCCAATCACGTACAACAACTCCGGGAAGTTCTGCACCTCTCGCCCTCGAGCCCGGCCACTCTCTTCCCAGGACACGCGTTACACGCCACGGCGCCCCCTGTCGCGTAGTACCCCTCCTCGCAAGGAGTCGGATCTACGGTCCCTTCGGCACAAGCCGCCCCTGGGGGGCACACGCCTGTGCAGCCTTCGTCGCGTAAACCCGCTGAGGAGCCATAGGTGCCCGCTGGGCAGAGCTTCCGGGCTGCGTCTTGGCAGTAGTAGCCGGCCTCGCACAGCACCTTTGACCGGGAGTTAGAAATGATGAGACAATGGCGGGCCAAGCAACGAGTGGGGCATCGTAGTAGCAAAGGGGCTAGCTGGGTGGTGGACGCCTGCAAGGGGCGCGAATCACCGTAACAACTGCCGAATATCACCAAACAAGCAGTGGCACGCCTCCGCGGAGTACGTCAGCCATAGAAATATGCCCCACGAAAAGTTGTGGAAACTCCAAACGTTTCGGCCACTGGGAAGTCAAGCTGACATGCATCTCTCGTCGCCCAAACCCCTCCGGTCAGAATCCCTCAACGTTTCCCAGCATGCCGACGCCGAAGCGGTGAACCGAACAGTGCAAGAAAAGACAACCTTAGTTATCCTCTTTTCGGTCATCTACACCGACCCGACTAAGGTCACGGGCTCTATAGTCGTACATGTGGCGGGGGACGCTTCTCCCGACCCACCAGTTGATCGTGCCCTCCGCCCCACATTTCGAAGCACACGGCCCAGGAAATGTACGACCCCTACCCCCGGGATGTGGCCCAAGCTCACCTGAGAGACCCGAGTGTTGCCTTCTGAGCCTCCGCCCACAGAGTAAAACCCAGCGCGTACTGGGACGGGCTCCACGCTGCCCTCGGGACAGAACACGGTCGGGTTTCCGCAGGCAACGAGAGCAGCCGCAAGGCTGGGGCTGGCGCTCTCTCCCGGCGGGCAGTAGTATCCCGCCTTGGTATTCATCGCGACATCCGGCAAGAGGCGCGGGTTCGGAGGCTGTAGGGTCTGACACATTGGACAATCATTCATTTCCTCGCTTGGCGTCAATGAAGTACACCCACAGCGAGCGAGAGTTGACGTAATTTGTCCGTTCTCGAAGTCTTCTTATCTGCGGGGGGGAAACACAAGCAAACACGCACATCAACAATCGAGCCAGCGCCTGGGTATAAACATGCGACGAGGTGTTTTTTCTGGCATGGTGCTGATTGCCAGGGTGAGGGGCGGAAGAGGCATTCGTGTCGCGTCCGTTTTGTGTACCTTGCACGGCAAACACGACGCTCGAGAAGACTCCCCGTACTTCCACTGGAAGGTTCCTGCAGGGCAGGGTTCCTTGCGCCCCTTCTCGCAGAAAAATCCTGGCTCGCACAGTACCTGAGCGCTGTGCGTCTCGTTTAATGGGTCCCTGGCGGCCTGTTTGAGAGAGAACCGACAAAGGACATCAATATTGTCACTCGACGCCCGCCGTGCATCGGGTTATCACTGGTTGGTTTGGGGAATTGACATGGGAGGGGGGGGCGGGCAGCGTCTGGCCGGAGGTAAACGATAGGCGTCCTCTTGGGCAACACATTGAAGAATTTTGTATTGTGCGATGCAAACTCTACCAAATACAACCAAGAGAGAATACGACGGATGCTGAGGCAACGCCGGGAGGGTTTTATCCTGCATTCTCGACCTGTATTATCCACCTTCAGTCGAATCCGTAAGTCTGTCGTCGCGCCACCAGCCACATTCACAGACACACCTTCCAATGGAAGTTCTCCTGGCGCTCATGCAAGCCAACATCACCACAAAAGGATGTCGCGCTCCACACTCTTTAGGTCGGCTGCGACCCGGACGACAAACCGTTGATAAATCCGGTCGTTTGGAGTATCACATGGTACCCTATGAATGTCCAATGGAGCAGGCGTGTTTGTTTCGCCAATCGTTTCCGTGAACCAGCGTTATTCGAGTGTTTGATACTAGCCTTGGACGATCAACTGATTGCTGCCTACGGTCTCCTCGCGTCGAGCAAGAATATCGGGAGTCTGATGTCCACACCAAACTATCGTTGCTTGTGCTGTTGTGATTTCACGAAGGCCAACTACTGCAGTTTAGAGCAACGCAAACCTCCACCGAGAACACCAACCAAGTCTTCATGATCGCGTCGTGTTCCATGCCCTTTTGCCACTAAGATGTTCCGCGGCTTGGTCACCTGAAGGCCAGCTGCCACGCCCGTGTGGGCACCGTAGTACCCGACTAAGACCTGCGACGGAGAAGATGACCCCCTCGGACAGTACAAGCCTAGGCCACCGCACCTGCTCTGGAACGGGGACGTGCTGCCCTCGGGACACACAAACCCCGCCGCGCAGACCCCAGAGCACGCCGGGTCGCTTAGTCCTACCTGTTCAAAGCGGTCGTTTGTTGGAGAGGGGGCATGGGGGGGGCGGTGGGGAGAAAATGCTGGGATGTCGTGCTGGGATTGTGCCTTTTCTATGGAGCGGAGGGGGGGGGGCGGAAGGAACCCTGGGGAGCATATTTTGGCACGTGTAAATCAAACGGGAGCATGGGTGAGGGATAAGACATTTGGCGAGAGTAGTTCCACGGTCCGCGGGGCAAAAACAAACCCGAAAGACTTGCGTTGTTTGCCTCTCCTGTCCAGCAATGCCTCTAGTGGGCGTGAGGGTGAAGGAGTGCGCAGGAGGCGTGGTTGTGATGCTGCGCACCGCGCGAAACCATGCCGTACCAAGCCTTGTTCCACTCCCCCCTCCTGCCGTCCCCACCATACCCCCGCGCCCGTTACTAGCCGCCGATGGACATCATTACTGCATCCCTCTCGCGCGTTTTCTCGTCCACCCACCTCACCACCGTAGACACCGGGCGGACACTTGCTCCCCGCCCCGTCCCCAGTGCAGTACCACCCGGCGGGACACACCGCGACGCCGCTCCTGAAGGCTGCCCCTCGATCATCGTCCGGCCGCTTCGCCCCGGCCCCTTCGTCCCTTCCACCGACGCCAGTGGTACCAAAGTCGGAGCTCGGGAACGCGCTGGCGGCCCCCGGTGTGTGCAAGCCGTAGCTGGCATCGTGGTTTCCCGTTGTGTAGAAACCCTGCTCCACGAAGGTCGGTGCGATACTCCCGGCGGGGCAGTACAGGTTAGCGGCGCCGCAGGGCACCTGAAAGCAAGGAGGGGGGGAGGGGGGGGGGGGGGGGGGGG